ATTTTATTTACTGTCACTCTAAATAGCCATCCTTGTATCAATACCATACAAATCTCACAAGTTCTTTAACCATGAAGTCTTTCTTTATCCTGGTCTGCGTTTGCCCGCTATTTTCCCTTGCATAATATTTTGTAGCAATCAATATTTAGGATCCCTCATTTCTTCTTCTCTCATCTCTCATCTCTCTCTCATTTCACTCCAGCTTTCTTTTCTTAGGTAATGTTTTTTATAATCTTAGTAGTCTTGCTAAGACGTTCTAGTATTGTGGAGTTTCGAATCTTATTTACCCAAGAAACTTTTAAAAGGCTTCTATAGCATCCACATTTCGAAAACCTCAAGGCGATTTATATAATTTTTATTCACAGTCCAAAACTCGAAACAATACTCGAAGTAAGATCGAGAACACATCGCAGTGGAGTAGGCTGATCCGCAATGCTAATTTTAGGTCTCTATTACATATTATTTTGGACATCCTTCTAAAAGCGACTCTGGCCAGCTCAATTATGATTCTAATTTTACCGTGATTCTTTGCGTTACAGTTTAAGTGTAAATAATAATATAAGATAAATAATTTGATCAACTTGCTCAAGTTTGGTACTATATACAGAAAGTCTTATATTCTGTTGCTTACTTATTACGAGTATTTTGGTTTTACGTATGTTCAAATCGAGTTCTGTTCCCTACAGCTCTCAACGACACTATCAAGTAATGTTTGCAGATCTTCTTGAGTTCATAATTATTCTTTCTTGTTTTCCAGAAAGTGCATTTCTGAAAATTCTTTCGGGGTAAATCAGGGGCAACAAGAGGCATCCCTGTCGTACTCCTCTTTTAATATTAAGAGCCTGTGATTGTAAACCATCTGCTACTACTGACGTTGTTTGATTCCAATACAAATTTTCAATTACGCGAACGTCTCTGCCAACCAAGCGAATGTCTCCTAGAACTTCGATCAACATAAAGGGCTTATCACAATCAAATAGCTTTTGGAAGTCAATAAAACAACAGTACATGTCTATAGATTTTACACGATGACTTTTAACAATTACGTTCTTCCCAAACAATGCACCTCTCGTTCCAAACCCGTTAAGGTTAAATTCCGAAAGTGGCTGCAGACTGCAGACCGCAAACCGCAGCAATAACAGCGACAACAGCAATACACGATGGGAATTTATAATAGTATTATATTAAATGTCGTATAAGTAGGATGTCAGACGCAATGAACAACGATAAATTAATGTTATATCTTTTGATGGAATAAGAAGATGACGACGATCTTTTACTTTTGCATTATAAATAAAAAGGAAACCGACTAGGTCCCTATTTAAAAATAGACAATTTGAAGGAAGTTATTCAATACTTATTAAAAATCATCTAATGGCTAACGAAGACATATTCAGAAACAGCAAAAATACGTGTTGTCATTCTGCGGTCGGCGACACTACTGGTTATGGTGCAGTCCTGCGGTTTGCGGTGGCGACGTTCTGCTTGCGGTGGCGACAGTGCCGCTCTACTCGACATACAGCTCATAAGAAACCATATGAACCAGTAGGTCTGTCGCTGCGGTCTGCGGTCTGCGGTTTGCAGTTTGCAGTTTGCGGTCGTGTTCAGAATCGTACCTTTGCGGAAATCAAACTGTATGTCACTTAGGTATTCCTCGCATTTATTATAGATACGACCATACGTATTACCTTTAGAAAATTTTTTAATTAATGGCTTAACAAACTGATGTCTATAATCAGCACAGGTTTTTGCTGTTGTCTTATTAGGTAAAGCTATGAATAATAAATTGGACCATTAGATATATGTCAGCTGGTATAAGTGGTATTAACAATCGAAGTTATAACCAATAAAACATTGCTATAACTCCATTGGTTGTTACAAAAGATGTCTCAATTCGATTTCATGTGCAAAGTACACATTTGTATTTCTCTCCAAATTAAATTTAAGTGGTTTTTATTAATGGTGTTTAGTACCAAAAAATCAGTCTTCGTTAATCTGTAAGTCATCTAATATTTTTATAATTGGATTCCGAAAATTGAATTTAAATACAACTGAAGTACATATTTACATTTCTAATGTTGTGAAATAAAATGTTAAGTACCCTTTAAAAAAATTATCAGGGCATATATAATTATATTTTAAAAATAGATGTTATTTAAATAATGTCATATGTTAAATATAATAATTATATAAAAAATACTTGAAAATAAAAATATTACAGATAATTACCTTCTGAAGGTTTGCCCTGGAATGAAACTTTTATTTAAAAGAGTTGCTCAAAATGGAGGAAGTCGTACAATGTCTATAAAAGACAGAAAAAGTCAAAATAAATGAAATATCAAATGATTTAATTAGTCTTCAGCAAGGTCAGTCTTCAGTCCATTTAAAATGAACACATTAAGAGAGAAATTTGCAAAATTAGAGAAAAAGTAAAATCACAAAAGAAAAGAATTAAAAAGTTTGAAAAGAAGTATTTTCTTTTTAACCCAATATAAATATAGTTTTAAAGTTATCTAATTATATGGAATGGAAACATATATAAAATAAATATAAGGAAAACAAATATAATTTATGAAGTAGAAAAGAACAAGAACGAAAACACCGAATTTATACATAACAAAGTAAAGGAATTAACTGCTACAATAAAGCTGAAAATAGTTTTATGAAATAATATTGATATCAGAGCAACATTTTGTCTTCCAAGAGGACGGTGAAGGATGCGATAACAAGAAAAAGTTTTAAATTAATGAGATACTACGGTATACATCCTTTGAAATGGGTTTCTTATAGTCTCGAGTTGTCTCCTACAGAAAATTTTTGGCCCGAGATGAAAAAAGGGGTCTCGCAAACATCCCACCAAGATAATCTCTAAATTCAAACAAAAACTTCAAGAAATATGGCATTTACAACAACATAGAAAACATCTTAAAGAAAATCCCACAAAACGAGAAAATATATATTATTGAAGACTTTAACGCCAAGGTGGGAAAAATTGAAAGTAAACCACATTTGAAAGATATTGTTGGGTCATTTGGCTGGGGAATTAGACACTACAGAGAAGAAAATCTTCTACAGTTTGTCAGTAAAAACAATCTAGTGATAAAAAATACAGTTTATAAACACCACCCAAGAAGGCTATCAACATGGAGTAGTCCAAACAAAAAACAGAAAAATCAAATCCACTACATACTTGTACGGAAAAGATGGAAAACCTGAGTATTAAATGTAAAAGCTATACCTGGAACATACTGTGGATTAGATCATCAGATGCTAAAAATGAACTTAAGGATCAAACTATATACAACTAGAAAAATACATCTGACAATACAGCTAAGGATAAATAATACAAAAGAATTTCAGATGAAACTGATAAACAAAGAAAATCCACAAATACTAAAAGACATAAACAAAACTTGGAATGAAATAAAAAGCTGGATATATTGACATGACAGACATGAAGACCATTGCAGAGACATCGAAAAATTACTGCTCAGAACTGTACAAAGAAACTTTAAAAGATGCATCAGTATTAGAACACAAGAAACATGAAATCAGAGAGGCCGAACCAATAATCTTACAAGCAGAAATAAAGAAGGCTCTTAACCAACTAAGAAACAAAACAATCCTCAGGGATCAATGGCGTACCAGCGCAGACTTTAAAAGAAATGGGCGAGATTGGTGTAGATGTAATATTGGATATGTGCCACATAATATGGATCACAAGTGAATGGCCTGATGAGTTATACGAATCAACCGTTATCAACATCAATAATAAAGGACCAGTGACCGTGTGCAGTAATTATAGAACTATTGCCCTTATTCCAAATGCAAGCAAAGTCCTGCTACATATAATTAATGAACGGCTAAAGAACTTACTACTCCCAGAGAGAGCTGAAGAACAATACGGATTCATACCAGGAAAAGGAACGCGGAAGCAGATACTGAACACCAGACAGATAATAGAAAAAGCGAGGGAACACAACATACCAATGTTGCTCTGTTTCCTAGATTACAAAATGGTTTTATTCAGTAAAATGGGATCTCCTCTGGAGTATAATGAACAATATGGGAGTACCTAATCACCTAATTAATCTAATCAGAAGTCTGTGTGATAAAACTCAGCCAAATTTAAAACACATGGAATATATTCATATGCCTCCAAAACAAAGAGAGGAACTAGACAGGGCTGCATATTATTACCATTATTATTCAACATATATTCTAAATACATAATGAGAAAAGTACTAGACAAATAGGATGGAAAAATCACTATAGGAGGCAATAAAATTAGCAGCCTGCGATATACAGATGACACACTTATACTAGCAGCAAATGAAGTCGAAATATTTATTATCACAGAACGTCGAAGCCGGATAAGCGAAATATTCGGACTTCAGATAAACACTGAAAAAACAAAAATAAAGATCTCCAACATGATAGGCAGACCAAATGAAGACTCTGGTGGGAAAATGAAGCCATCCATACGGTACAGAATCGTAGCTAATCAGGCTGCAAGCTAATATTTAGAGAATTACCACGCCCTGACAAAAGTTCAAGGAATGAGGAGGAGAAAAAGAATAGATCTGATATTACCAAATTGTAAAGTTTCATATCGATTCTGTGTTGATGTTGCATATTTTTTGCATATCTCATTCTGCTTTATTTGTTGTTAGTTATTAGTTTTACTGTTTTAACAGGCACCGCTTGTGTTGATTAGGGTTATACAAATAGAAATAAAGTTCAGGAAATATTCTGATTTTAGATATTTAAAAACAAATTTTTAAAAAATCTGACGTTGAGCAACTGAGTTCGTAAGGACCTCTTATATCATACCATAATGCATAGCATTAAAAAAAATTTAATATTATCTTTAAACACCCAAAACCCAAAACTTATTTTTTTTCCGATCTCCCCTATAATGTTTCATGCGATTTAAGGTTTGAGGCGATCATTAATGCGATTGAATATTATAATTTATTAATAGATTAGACGACACAATAAAGCAATTAAAAAAATATTCAGTAAAATGAATTCGATGGTATTAGCTGAACTGTATGCAAAGAGCTGTCGTGTCACAGTCCTACACACATCTTATTTATTTCACTTATACAAACCTTTATTTAATTTTCCAAATAGGTCTTCTATATTGGAATACGGATTTGGTGATGGATCTAATTGGTGTAATTCAGTTAAACCTCATCTACCACAAGATTTGGAAGAATATGTGGCAACTGATATATCCCAACAGATGATGGACCATGCTAAAGCCACTCTTGCAATACCGAGAATGAAGTTTAAACAACTCGATATTGGAGCTGAGAACCTTTCTCCTACATATCAACAAAGGTTTAATTTGATTTTCAGCTTTTTCGCAAATCATCTGGTGAAAAATCCCAAGTAAGTTATACATGTATATATATATATATATATATATATATATATATATATATATATATATATATATATATATATATATATATATATATATATATATATATATATATATATATATATATATATATATATATATATATATATACGACGTGTACTTTTCGTTTGTGACATTAATGTTTATTCTTTTTCTTTTTTTTTATTTGAAAATATTAACATATTAATATAAATATAGTAAATAATTAGTCTCATTGCAAGCTTTATATTTTCGATTTAGGACACTGTTCTCAATTTAATAATATAATATGCAAAATCTATAACCTGAATTTTTATCAAATTCAATACTTCAAATTTTAAGATAATTATTAAATAAGAGTAGAATTTTTAAATTGTGAAGTGTGTGCGTATGTGTGTGGAACATGTGTTTTGTACAATTACTTTTTTTTGCTATAATCTGTCTTTTAAATCTTTCGGTTTATACCTCTAGAATCTAAAGAACGCGGAAAAATGCTTTAAATAAAATCTTAATATAACTTGTGTTAAGGTAGATATTTTGATAACATCAGATAGAGGCGAAGGAAAGTATCCAACAGGGCAGAATGGAAGAACATTGTTAAGCAGGCCAAGACTCACAGCCACAAGGGTTGTAGCGCCATTAGAAGAAAAAGAAGAAGAATATAACTTATATATACATACGTTTATAAAGTATAAAACCTTTAGGTAGGGTAGAAAGAAAAGCAAAATGTTTGGCATTTTGGATGTAATCTTAAATTTGGGTGCAAATTTAAACGAATGGTAGAAACAAACCATCTACGAAAAATGGAATAAAGATCTAGAAGGTAAGATCAGCTTTTATCAAAAAAAAATAACTTTAACTGATGAGACTGAATTACATCACTGAATCATTTAAAATGTGGTGCCATAGATGGATGTTGATGATTTCCTGGATAAATAAACAAGTTACATTTGAAGAAGTACAAATAATGAGATTGTTGAAATTAATTTTAATTTAGAGTTTTTCTTGAATTATCACTTATAATTGATTACACAATTTCATTTTCTTTAAAAACCTAACGATTTTGTCACAATCCACACTGTCTAAAGCGCACTTTATATCACTTGGTAGTCCAGTACCTTGTCTTTCCACTTGATATAATGGAAGGTCTATAACAATGTGGCCTACAGTTATCTTGGTGTCACAGGCACAGCATATTCTAGGAGATTCCTTCCTTAGTAGGTGTTCGTGCATCAGTCTGGTATGTCCTATTCGGATACGATATAGTACAACCTGGCTCCTTCGCTTTACTAAAATTGGTGTTTTCGCTGATAAATCTGGGTTTGCTTGCCACAATTTATTATTTGGTAACAGTTTCCATCTTCGTAACCATAAGTTTTTTGTGTAATCATTCATGCATTTTTTCATATCTGGCTGAGGAGTTTGGTAAGTTTTATCATCGAATCTCTCCATTTTACAAGCTTCTTTGGCCATTTAACCAGCTATCTTATTTTCTGGTATTCCCACATGAGATAGTATACACACAATATGTAGTTGTTTATGATTATTTCGTAAAGTCACAAGGTCTTTTTTAATCTGTTCTAAAATCAGATGGTTCGGATATATTTTCTGAATTCCCTGGATTGCACTTAAGCAATCTGTGAATATTACTATCATGTCTTCAAGTCGATTGAGTTTGTTGTACTGCCTTGGATATCGCAAAAAGTTTAGCAGAATATATTGGGTAGTCCTTAGGTAGTGGAAACTTGAGCACAGAACCCTCTGTGACAATGGCGGATCCTACTGTTACCAATTCGGGTGTTTTTGATGCATCGGTATAAACTAGTTGACAGGATGAATATTTATTTTTAATATTGTAGAAGTATTGGAGAAAATGAAATGAAGGGGTATTGACGTTAGTATAAGATAACAGATCTGTGTTACAATATGGAATTTGTATAGCCCAAGGGGAAGCATAAATAATATTGGTATGCATAATACCCGGCAATGTGAAGCTGCTAATTCTTTTGCTAAATGATGGTCAAAGATTAGAATTTTGATTATAATTAGACTGGTAATGTGTGGAGAAAGCACAGGGGTAGGCCGGGTTGTTGTATGGTGTATATTGGGTTATATTTTCAATACTGTGGCTGTTATTAGTTATGTAAAAGTAGACAAATGAAAAAAAATGCCGTATATTTTTAACCGATGGATTTTGCACAGCTGATACAGCCTATTGAAATGTTACATTTTTTAGGGAATAGCGTGCATTTTTTTTAGGGGACACAATTTTATATATTTAAGGTGTTGGAAAAGTAAGAAGACGGTTAAGTTCAATTTTATGATGTCGCCACCCTTGTTTCGTGGCCGCCACCTTGGAAAAAAGGGTGCAAAGGGTTTTCCCACTATATCTCGTAAACTAGCAATCCTAAAAAAATTATATTTATTATTATTTGTAGAAAATGAAACAGTCAACAACTTTATTCATTTTTCATTCAACTTTTTATTATAAAATAAAAAATACGCTATAAACGAAAATAACTAAAAATTTTGGAAAAAATTTTCCTTTGGGCCGTATAACTTTTTTTGTGGTAATTTTACAATAAAATGACGTCAGTGCAATATTATCGAGGGTTTTTCTAAGAATAATTTTCACTACAAATAATTTTATTAATTTTTCTGGTTTTTACACCACTCCGAAATTGAACTGGTTCTTGATTACATGTGAAGGCGAAAAACCAACATAATGTGTTTGCCGTGTGTTTTATCTTGACAAATCGTCAATGGAAGCAACAAACGTGGTCACGAGATATTCAAGGTTTTAAATATCTATTGCAGGGGAAAACCAACATATTCAACATAACATGGGAAAAACCTACAGAGTCCATAAAATTCGTTATTACACGCAGGTCATCGCAGCTGTGTTTATTAGTTATTGTTTTGACACGTTTATTTAAGCTTGTTCGTTGAGTGTTAAAAGTTTCATATCTTCAGTTTAATAGTTTTTTTGGAAAGTTTTAGCGTTTAAAATGTCTGACGGTGACGAAAATACATGTGTTAATCAAGAAAAATTAACGAAAAAGCGTGAAACACATGGCCGTCTTAGAGATGTTGCTAAGAAGCTACGAGCCTCTACCTTTGAAATAGGAGAAGACCATGGACGTATAAACACATATCTGTGTTTATACGTCCATGGAGAAGACTGTCAGTACAAGCGTTTACGACCTGTGTTTCAACGAAGGCCAAGGAAAAACGAAGAAGATGCTAGATTGAATGAAAACTACTACAGCTACAAAGTAAGAGTTATTAGAAATAGCAGTGCAGTAGAGGTACCAGTATGTTTTAAAACGTTTCAATCACTGTTTGGAATTAAAACTTTCCGATTACATACAATAAAAACAACTAACAAGGCGCTGATCGATAGAAGGGGAAAGCATAAAAATAGACCTCATAAGGTAGAATAAAAAACTCGTAAATTATTATTGCAGTTTTTTGCCACATCCGTTCATTGTTTTGCCACATTTTGTTTAATTAAATTTTTTCTAACTACGAAATTAAAATTCAATCAACATTATTTCAGCTATTTATAAAAAGTACATATTCAACTAAATATATAAAAATATCTAACTAAAAATGTTAAAAAGAAAAGGATTTTTATCGTTTCAAATTTTCTTTTTATTCTCCTGAAAAATATAGTTTTTTGACTAAGTTGCCTTTCCCCCTGCACCCTTTATGTAGGAATACGATAAAAACGAACCATTAGACTTAGTTTTCTATTATAATTTTTGTATTTATATTATTTTAAATTTATTTAATATTTCCTTAACATTATTGCTATGTTATTATTAATTTATTATCAACCCTTTTCGCCACCACACAACTTATTATTATTAATTATCATAAAATAAATTTCTAGATAATGAAAAGAACAAAACAAATTTAATAGACCTTTTTAAAACTGCTCTTCATATTAGGCACTTGGAAAACTAAAAATAATAATTTTCATCTGAGTTTTCCAGCCTCAAAAGTGAGTATTTTCGATTTTTTGATATTTTAAATTGTTATAACTTGAAAACTGTCAACTTTAGCGAAAAATGTACTTTTTGTATTTAAAATGACCCAAGAAATCTAAAAAAATGTTACTCGGTAACATTTTTTAAACAATTTTTGTTTTGCCCGGCACCCTTCTGATTTGTTTAAAGGGGAGATTTTTGAATAGGAATCCGTAAGAAAGCAAATCAGAAACATCTTTTCCAAGTAAGCGGCCTTACAACCTGGACTATAATACTTAAACCATTTAAAACAGTTGTTTTATACGGCATTTCGTTTTTGTTGATAATTGATGTCAAAACAAAATATATCAATGCAGTACAGAAATTTTTAATCGTAATATCCCACTTATTAGTGGGAATTAATTTTGCGCCTTAAATTTCTTACCCTTGTACAAGATGGTATGTACGTCACCGCAAAAAAAGTAATCCAAATGGGGTCAAAATTTTCCGAAAATCATTATATAATACATATTTTAATATTGTATGTCTCAGCCGCTATTTTGAATGTTTGTACCATTAGAAGTAGGTTATCTTTGTTATCTGAGATCAGAATTGCGTCGAATTGTAATACAATTAAATTACTGCATTGCGATATTAAACTTGAAAATAAAGTTTAAAGTATCAAATTAAATTTAAGACTAAAACAAATCATATTTTCTATTGTATTCTAATTGATTGTCTATTAAATAATAAAACTTTAGGTCTGTATTTTTAAAATAAGATTAATTAGGTTTCTTAATTATTTTAAATCAATTAACTGCGAATTAAAAAAAATCATATCCAGTTTTTACAAAATCGTCCCATAATAAATTTTTTTCTAATCGTGTAAAAATTGTCAAGTTTCAAATATTAAAAAATCGGTGGGCCGTTATATCTACCTGCGTTAATGCGTTAACTTGTTGGCTATCACAAGGATAACGGGCAAGTGTTCGTGTAGCAACACAGATACTGTGTGAAGGGCGGAACCCCAAGATATGGCTAGCATGCCACACTCATCTAGAGAAGGACTTCAGGCGTCTGCTGAATAGATCAGTTCCCCTTAGACGCTGGCCATACTCAGCTATGTGGCCTGCTTTGCCTTAACGAGTCTTGCAGAGTCGTCAGTGTCTAGAGGTCTAGGACTTTAACTCCCGGTAGAGGGGAGGGAATCTTCGTATTAATTAATTAACATTGATACTGATCTCTTGATGGACGTGAGGTGTGGATGGATTTGCTTAGGGTTTCCAGGCTTCCCCGTTTTCACACCACCCACCCCAAGATGGGTCCTGTTCGCACGGGGTGCGTGCTGTGGATCTGCGACTACTTCGAAAGATCGCATAGTGAGTAATAAGAGTATAGTTGCTCGTGGAAATAAAATTCAAGTTGGGATATTGACTTCCAACGCCTACGGCCCTGAAGAACTCGGATATTCCGTGTAACATCGGAGGCGAAACGGGGGATTACTAAGTCAGTTGTAAGTACTCGAGTAGATCACATCCTAGTCCTTTAAAAGATTTCGAACGTTTGTGGACTGAAGGCTCTCTCTGGCTGCCCTGCTGCAGTCGGAACTATGACTCTTTTAACTCATATACGGTTGTGATTGTTGGATATATAATAAAACACACGAGAGCAAAGTAGAGGTAGCCTTCAGCTCGCCGTATCTATTATTCGTATCGCTGGTGATCTTCTGGAATTTCGTGTTATCGCGTGACATTCAATCTTTGTTTTTCCGCTGGCTATTTATAGAACAGCTGTTCTTATTATATAAGCTGCTAAGTCAGTCTTTAATGATTAGTAGCAGCAATTTCTTATATAAGCGATATCTGTGTGAATTGTAAGCGATAAGTATTAATGCCCTTAGAATTAATGAATGGTATTTGTAATATAGTGAGTTTGTTTTTAGATTTAAAATAAAGTTAGTTGAACTACATTGGCTTTTCTTTATCTCTGAACTCAAAGAAAACGCAACAACTGGTGTCAGAAGTAGAATTAAGTAAAAGAAAATATTTTTGAGAATTTTGATGTCCAAAACAAGATGTCCAAAAGAAGGAAAGAGGAGAGATGTCGTCTGGAAGAAACGAAAGCTAAAGAGAGATGCCGTTGGGAAGAAAAAGGGGCTGATGAGAAACGTCACCAAGAAAAAAAAACATGAATAGAAACGTTGTCAAGAAAACAGAGAGTTGCTCGTGAGTTTTATATCAAAAATAGAGGTCTCACAAGTACCTAAGTAAATAGATTATTCAAAAAAAAATCAAATAGGCAAACGATTAAAGAAGACATAATTAAAGAAGTTAAACAGCAACAGGTTAAAACGTAACTGTTTATGTGGAAAATCAGTAAAAATTGAACTGGGACACGTCGAGATAGTAGTAGTGGTCGTAATAGCCGACATCGTAGACATCTTTTTAACGTTTGATTTGTTTACTATGTTAAAAGTGATTTGCTTTTTGACTTCATATTGCTTGTTTGCAAGTTTTTTCATATTTTCTGCACTGTTTTTATAAATCATTGCTGAACAGTGTATTTTCAGTTTTTTGTGAATTTTATCTTTGGTATTTCTTGAATAAGGGCTTTATTTACTTATCTATCGCATGCAACCCGTAATACCGTTTTTTAATATAAATACACTAAAATACACTACAGTCAAATCCAATTTGGTTATAATCTTAAATTAAAGGTATCAATAAAAGAAATTCCATTCAATTAGCTGTACGATTATTGCATGATAGTCACTGATATTTCAGTAATAGTTAAAATATTTATTTTATAATAATATATACATAAATAGGTATTGGTATTATTATTTATATTATTTCCGTTTAATTAAAGTTAATTTATGAAATCACTAAAATATTTTAAATAACATATCAAATATAGAAAAATAATAAATATTTTGTCCTTACAATTTTGCCATAAGCAGAAAAATTTACTTTGTCCATATCCATATATATGTAAGCTCAACTAATGATGATTAAGTTTTCACTTTTAAGAACAAAGTGATTTGCAAAAGGACAATAATTCTGTTCATACCCCACGCAATGAACTTTTGATACACCCTTGTATTACCAGATTATAATCGGTTACCTGCTACCAGAATACCAAGAATATAAGGTGGAATCTGTAGGTACTATCGGTAATATTGAGGAGTGAAAAATTGAAATAAAATAAACATAAGAATTTACAATTACTTAGCCATACCATTATATATGGTTAGATAAATACTATTTAAAACTTGCAATTCAAAATTAATTGACGTTTATGCATTTTATACAATTTTTGTATAAATATGCAAAATCCCTAGATACTTTAAAATATATACAGTGTAAACTGATTTACCTCTTTAGGTATATCAAAAGTCCTTTATAAAACAATTGAAAAAATAAATGTTATCTTGATTTTATGTAACAATAAAACACTGAAAACTTTGTTTTCAAACTTCCAGAAAATATATATTAACTCTCATCACTACAGCTGTTTCGGCTGATCGCCTTTCTCAAGTGATCTATTTTTGACATGCGTTTACACTTTATAGTCTCTAATGAAATAGGTTGAGGAGAGGAGAACTATTTGTCTCAAGTTGGTCATTCAGAATTATATCTGTGTTTTTTAATTTGTTGATTTCCATAGATTCTAACAAGGATAGCTTAAGGCCTTTATTTTGAATGTTAAGAATTTTTAATTCATCGTTAAAAGAATGATTGTGATCTAGAAGGTGAAGTGCGTATGTAGAATCTGATTTTCTATTATTGAAAGCCCTTTTATGTTCCGCTATTCGTTTGTTAAAGTTTCTACTAGTTTGACCGATGTAAGTTCTTGGACAGTCGCCACATTTAAGTTTATAAACACCACTGTGTAAGTGTTTTTTATTTTGGCTCTTGTTGTTTTTGATATATTTGCCTAGGTTGTTATTTGTTCGGAAAGCTGGTGTTATTCCTTTCTTTTTTATGTGTTTGGCTATTTTTGTTGTAATTTTGCCTGTATATGTAATCGAACAGAAGGTACTGGGTTTTTTCTCTGGTGGTGGAAATATAAAATTGTGTATAGTCGTGTCAGTATGGGTAGGTTTGTGAAATATGAAGAAGTCATGTTTGTTTTTAAATCTGATAATTTTAAATCTAAAAAATTTATAGATTGATTTTGTTCTATTTCTATTGTAAATTCAATATGACTATGAAGTGAATTAATATACGATAAAAATTGGTCGAGTTGCCTGTTAATTCCTGTGAAACATACTAGTACGTCGTCTACGTATCTCCACCAATATAAAAATTGTTTAAATACGGGATGTATTTACACAGGAACTAACAGGCAACTTGACCAATTTTTATCGTATAATAATTCACTTCATACTCATATTGAATTTACAATAGAAATAGAACAAAAGTCAATCTATAAATTTTTCAGCTTTAAAAATTATCAGATTTAAAAACAAACATGACTTCTCCATATTTCACAAACCTACCCATACTGACACGACTATACACAATTCATCATTCCATCGAACACAACATAAACTGTCGGCATATCATAGTATGTCACATAGATTAACAGAAATTCCGATGTCAAAATACAACTTTGAGACAGAATTAAATATAATTAAGCAAATAGCAGTAAACAACGGATACAATGAACACAAAATTAATAAAATGTTAAATCAAAAACTACACAAGAAAGCCATGAAATTAGTATTTCCACCACCAGAGAAAAAACCCAGTACCTTCTGTTCGATTACATATACAGGCAAAATTACAACAAAAATAGCCAAACACATAAAAAAGAAAGGAATAACACCAGCTTTCCGAACAAATAACAACCTAGGCAAATATATCAAAAACAACAAAAGCCAAAATAAAAAGCACTTACACAGTGGTGTGTACAAACTTAAATGTGGCGACTGCCAAAAAACTTACATCGGTCAAACTGGTAGAAACTTTAACAAACGAATAGCAGAACATAAAAGGGCTTTCAATAATAGAAAAACAGATTCTACATACGCACTTCACCTTCTAGATCACAATCATTCTTTTAACGACGAATTAAAAATTCTTCACATTCAAAATAAAGGCCTTAAGCTATCCTTGTTAGAATCTATGGAAATCAACAAATTAAAAAACACAGATATAATTCTGAATGACCAACTTGAGACAAACAGTTCTCCCCTCCTTAACCTATTTCATTAGAGACTATAAAGTGTAAACGCATGCCAAAAATAGATCACTTGAGAAAGGCAATCAGCCGAAACAGCTGTAGTGATAAGAGTTGAAATAATTTTTTGTGGAAGTTTGAAAACAAAGTTTTCAGTATTTTATTGTTACAGAAAATGCATTTCCATCAAGTAACGGTCGAATCCATCAATTATCTTGATTTTCTTAAAAGAAATCAACTGACACCATGCATTTTGTTGCAATTTAAAAACGACCTCACATCAATAACATGTCGCTAATTCCAATTTAAAAATTAGCGATCAGTCAACCAAGAGGACAAATTCCTACGATGGCCACATCGCCTTTGCTTCTTTATATTGTTGCGTAATAAGTCCTGTATTTAATTTGTTAAACATTTAATTCTAAACACAGCTTCCGATTTAATATCAATTAAATAATTTTTGTGTTTTTAAAATGTTTTTAAATTATGTTTTTTAATGAAATTTAAAAAAAAATGATATATTTTAGGCAAATGCATAAAAATATATATAACATGTTAAAACCAAGCGGACAGACATTCCAAATAACCTTGGATCCGAGTCCTCTGGATGTGGTTTTCCATAATTTATCGATTCATCCTAGTTGGGGCAATTTTGGACATAAAAATGTAATATCTCCATATTATTATATGCAAAATTCTGAAAAGGATATACAACATCATTTGATGCAAGCAGGTTTCAAGGACTCTTTTGTAAGAAGAGAAGTATTTGAATATATATTTGAAAATGAACAGGAATGGAAAGGTAAATTATTAACGTAACATAAAACATAAGTAATATTCAGGGTTGGTGACTCATTATAATATTTGTCAATATTTTTGAGATTTTGTGAAAATGCTTAAATCTTAGACAAGGAAAGAGATTGGACGCGTAATCATATGGAATTGACTGAAGCCATCTTCAAAAACCAGAAAAACTGTTTTTAGGGATTTTTACTGATTTTCTTATTCCCATTCAACTTCACAATACTTCAAAATAGATCAAATCAAGGTTGTCTTTTATAGATTATACATATGTATATAACTAAAAGCAACTAAGTCCTTTATGACATTAAAGGGTTTTTGCGAGTTATGCGGGGTTAATCATATTTTTTTTAAGATCGATACAACCTAAATCAATGCGTCTCCAATTCATACTTAAAAAATATATGGAAAAAATTCAGGCCTCAGTAAACAAAATTCTACCATAGTTTATGCGAAAAACCAGGTTTATCAAGGCTTATCGGAGGGTTTTTATTATTTTACCTTTCTACATAAAACATGAGACGGGATTTGACTGTTTAGTAAAATCCTCAAAAACACTTGGTAACCGGGTTTTTTGCATGTCTCAAGAAATTTCTAGCTTCTCTGAATATGGGAAATACATGGTGTCGTATTATTTTGAAAAATTTTAAAAACATGTTGTTTAATGATGTAGTAATAATAATAATGATAATAAAAAAAGTATATATTTCGAAATTCCAAGTACCAGTTCTTAAGCTTATTATGGAAGGAAGATAGAAAGAAAACGGGGCATCGGAATAAAGAAATACTTATGGCTTAAAAACATAAAAGATTGGACAAACCTCGATGCCCATGCCCTCTTTAGAGCCATACAAGATCGAGAGGAGTATGCAGAATTGTCGCCAACATTCACTAATTGGATAGGGCACCATAAGAAGAATAATGATGTAGAACGTTAAAAAAATTCTGCAAATCCAGTAAAACCTCCAAAATAACACTGAAAACTTAATTTTTGCATAAACGATGGTTGTATTTGTTTATTTAATGGCGAAAACTATTCTTTTCATATAATATTAAAAATAAATTAGAAACGTATTGAATTAGGTTGTCTTCTTCTTCTAATGGCGCTACAACCCTTTGTGGGTCTTGCCCTGCTTAACAATGTTCTTCCATTCTGCTCTGTCCGATGCTTTCCCTCACCACTGCCTAATGTTCATAGATTTAAGATCTTCTTTTAATTAAATCAGGTTATATCGATCTCAAATAATATAAATAAGCCCACAAAAACTCGCAAAAACTCGTTGAAAGACGCACCGATATCAGAATTCGTTAAACTTTAGAGACTTTAATGGACAATGGTCATATAGTGAGAATGGAGACCGAAATATTGGCAAAAAGAGCCCTAAATAGTAAAATGCAGCGCACAAGACTAAATGAAAGGCCACGAAAAAGGAGGGAGGATGAAGTGTCAGCGGACACGCAAAATTTGCTAGACGTGAGAACTTGGAGAAGATCGGCGCGGACCGACAAGGTTAGAGGCATAGTTTGTAGGAGGCCAAGACACGATTTGGACTGGGGCGCCATTGAAGAGAGAGATAAAACGTAAAAAATTTAAAAAATGTTTGAAGCTTTATCGATCTCAAAAATATGTTTAACCTTGCAAAATCCCTTTAAAATCCAAAAAAACATGTTTTTGGGGTTTAAAGGTGGTTCTGCCCAATTTTTGAATGTTCTAAAGGACCCAGCCTGTACTTCTAATCTTTCTGTTTGCTCGTATAGCTTTAAAAGAATCACCTTTCTAAAATCTTGCTGACTGCTAGAAGTAAGATTATTGGCATGCAATTTTGTGAAAACCTTTCTCTTTTGACAATTGGCCTTATAATCTGAACTTTATTTTCTCTTGAGCATACAATGACATTTTCTTCGTATAATCCGAACATTGAATTTTTGCCAGTTCTAAGAATTATTTTTGTTTTACATGCTTATGCTATTTTCTTCTTATTGTTTCGTATAGGCTTTTCCACTTTTCGTCCAGATGTTTCTGGAGATCGTTTTGACTTCTCGGTTTAATCGATTTGTCTTTTCTGCATTCTGATGTTATTATGTTTTTCTAGTTCTTTTTTATGATCTATTCAGCTTCCTTATTAGTTCTCTAAGCTTCTTTAATTCCTGACCAAATCTCTCGAAATCAATTCAACGACAGTAGGATGTTATTGTTGTTGAGAACTTTTTGTTATGATTTCGAATTAAAGCCAATTGCTTTTAGCTCTTTTGGGCTGTTAATACTTTGGCATTTCCTATTCTCTCACTGGGTAGATAGATATATTAAATGAGGTGGCTTTTGGCCTATTCCACTGCGACGTTTTCAGATCTATTATGGTCGTCTAATCCTAGATTACATTCCTGATCATATGACAATCTCATCAGCTTGAACTGCCCATTCCGCTAACAGTGCTCTGTAAATAGACCTACCATGCTTTGACTCATTTGATTCTTATTATCCTCTGTCTCATTTGGAATAAATGTCCCTTATATCATATTGTCATATTGTCAAACTAGTTCTGGCAATTGGATATGTTTTCTCTCTTTCTTTATCAGGATTACTAGCTCCATTGAGTTTATTTTTTAGTCATTTCTTTATATGCAGTATCCAAAAAAACGTAGCATCTAATATAAAAGCTTCATAAAATTTTTTTATAAACTGTATCTTAAAAATTACTTTATATAAAAGTTTGGGCTTTAAAAAACTAATTGAACAATTATCATAATTGATCTAGAGGAAAATTATAGCATCCTACTGGCAAAGTTAAATAATAGTAAACCTACTATAACCCGTGTATTATATTGGACAAAGAGAGAGGGAAATAGGAAACACATGGATCTATCATACTTAGGAATACGTTTATACATAAAAGAAAATTAAAATTTACATTTTTTTACATTTAAGTTTTTATAGTTTTTTTTTTAGATTTATCAGACGGCATTTGACTAAAAAGTATTATTTAATATTTTTTAAATATATATATATACATATATATATATATATATATATATATGTATATATATATATATATATATATATATATATACAAATATTTATAATGTATAAATTATTTTTAGGGCTTTATCTTTCCTGTAATCCCGTATTTCCAACAATTCCTGAGGAAAAAAAGGAAGAATATATTCGAGATTTCTACGACGAAATAAAAAAACATGTCGTAACTTATAACAAAATCGGAGGACTAGAGTTCTGTAGTGCTAAATATAGCCTATCTATGATTTCTGCACTTAAATAATACTACTGGTAAAATATATTACTACTTTTAAATTAAAATGTAAATTGCTATTTTCTATTTTATCACTTTTTGTTTTCCTATTAGAGATACGATTTATCTACTAGACCTAAGCAGATGACCTAAGCAGATTGTCTTATCTTATGACAAATGACACAGTCAGAGAGAGAACAGCAGGATGGACAATGAGCTAAGGACGATAGCTCCCTGGGAGGACACACAATGAGTCAATTGTGGCCTAAGTGCTGTAAAACTTGACTCGCCCTCCCTACTCTACAGAGACAGATATCTAGACAATAAACATGTACATACATTTTGGCAAATCGTCAGTTTGCAGCTTTTTCATGTTGCAAGATAAAATATGGTAATGTCAATAAAGCTTCCAGACCTTCTATTTAAAAAGGCCAAAAAGTACATTTCTTTGGTTAATGGAAATGGTTAAAATATGTTTATATAAGTATTATACATCAAAAAAACCTTTCAGTACCCTGGCTTTTTGAGTGTCACGAACAGAGTATATTTTTGCCTTATTCTCTGGACTATTATTTGTTGTTTATATTTTCAGATTTTTCATAATGTGTGTTAATTTCAGTTTTATTTCGTGTAAAAATATCACTTTTTCTACTCTGTTTCTCTATTACTTGTCTTGCATTTTTTCTTTAAATATTTTATTAAAATCTTCATTATATTAACAAAATCTACATTTTATTTATCACTCATATTATACCTATTTCCTAGAGCTTTTATTCTTTAAGGTTGATCTGCACCCCCAAAAGATAAATTCCGAATTCAAAAAATTTGAAAAAATTTGAGAAGATGTATGAGATGACTAGAAGTATTTTGACAACTTTTAAGCAAACTTCATGTTTGCGTTTTTAAAAAAACTCAAAAAAACTACTTTTTTCCAAGTATAAAGCGGGAAAACCAGACATATAATTTTGTTAATTTTTTTACAGCATCAAGATATAATTATAAGAAATACTTAGGAATTTTTTGAAAATTTTTGAATTTACAGTTTTGTCCCAATAGGAAAAAATAGTATGTTTCTGCTTATAATAAAGCTTCCGGTAAGAAACAAACAAAATTTTTAATAACAACATATATAAAACTGTAAAAGTGGAAAATATTTGCAATGAAACGTTAAATATTTTTTCCTAAACATATGAAAAATCTCGTTAAACAAGAATTATGTCTTGAACCGCCGCCTTCAAATGTGTAATGTGGGGAGATGGCTCCATCTGAAACAGTGGTAGTATTTATCATCGATAGATAGCATTACGTTCGGCTTCAAACGTAACGACATAGTAACAGGGTTGCCATATCAATTACTTTGTACAACAATTTGGCAGAATATAACAAAACTTAGCAGGAATGTTATCGCTTTGAATTTTGAACTGGTTATGCTGAAACTTACAGAGTTACATAATAGTAGATACTGCAACTTTTATTTTGAAAAGAACGATATCATAAAATTTACACTCTATAAGTATTATATCTATAAAAAACTTATTTAGTTTTAAAAACCTATTTAGGCGTTTTTAGTAAATTATTTTAGTATTATAAACAATAGTGTTCCTTGCATAACGGCCATTAAAGGTTAAATTTGCAGATAATGATAGTCCATTATTTATGTTGCACAATAATATGGAGGTTGTTAGGAACCAAATTTTCTAGAATTCAATTGAAGGATGACTTAACTAAATATCAAATAAACTATTTGAATAAAGTGCGAGAGGAACTGGAAAAACGTAATCTACTTAACAAGGAACTAACAATAAAGTATATTAATAAAGTTCCAACTATTATTAGTACTAACCAACAAAATGCCGCAAAAAAACAAATAGAGTTGACAACAATAAATATTTTTTAGACTAATATTGCTTCTTTACATGCTAAGTTTTCTGACTTTTTGTCATTTACATCTTCTAATTCCCATATACATATTTTTGGGATGGAGTTCCTCTGAAATCGGTACGGGAAGTTAATAATTTTAGTGTTACGGTCAACCAAACAATAAGTTGGTCTACTCAAACACCAAAAGTAGTTAGTAAAGCGAACTCTGCTTTATTATTTATCACAAAAGCTTTTCATAGAATATCTCCAGACTTGTTTTTGAAATTCTACAAAAGTTATGTCAGACCTCACCTAGAATTTGCAGTGTCAGTTTGGTCACCTCATTTGCAAAAAGACATTAATTTATTAGAAGGAGTACAACTAAGAGGGACCTAGCTACCTTTTAATTATGGAAGATTAGACTATGAAACCCGACTAAGAAAGCTCAAGTAGTCTCCATTAACTCTTAGACGAGAAAGATATGATGTCATATCTACTTAAAGAATTCTTAGTGGGGATTTTTGGAGGGGGTGGTAGACTAAGAGGTCATAACTATAAATTGAAAAAGAAGTATTTTAAAACCACCTTAAGGCAAAACTTTTTAGTTAACCGAGTTTTTGATAAATTAAACGGTTTAAGTGATGACATAGTAGAAGCTACTAGTTTAAATAGTTTCAAAAACAAGTTTGATGAAAACGAACAAAATATTGTACCTAGTCTTATGTTAACTATATTGTTTGTATTTTTTGGATAGTCATGTTACTCGTGTTATTCCCAAAAATCACCTAGCGAACATAAAACAGCTGGGTCTAAATGAACATCTTTATAAGGCCATACATAAAGCTGTAGTTCTCGCGACGTCCAGATGTGTACGAAAATTTTTGGGAGATACTCCAGCATACCAAGTCACCTAGGGCTCAATAACACAGAAAGAGTCCCACCAGAGCTCAATCCTTTAGATACCGTAGGTATCTGGGATGAGTGAATTTTCCTCTTAGAGGGAGTGTGAGCCGTATGGCTAAATCTGGATAACATTCAAAAGCAAACTTAATTCCAAGCTCATAGTAAAAGCAATAAACACATACGCAATAACGTCTTTCACATAGTCCTCATTTGGCGTTATAAAATTGTCGAATACGGAAACTGAAGAACTGAATGGACCAAATAGAACCGTAATAACTAAATACGCATCAACCACTCCAAATCATACATCCAACGTATGACCACCACGCACACAAGGCGGGAGAAGAACGGGGTGTTTTGAAAATATCACCCACTACTTAAAAATAAAAAAACAGCAAAAAAAAAACGAAGACAAAAATACATAGAGCAGCAATTAGACCGATGATAGCATAAGGAACGGAAGTAATGTGTCTTACGAAAAAATATGAAGAAAAAGTAAGAATTATTAAAAGAAAAATTATAAGAATAAACAGACCAATAAAGAAAGAGCATAGAAGCATGGAATAAGAAATATAAATACAACCGAACAAGAAGACATAGTAAAATTTATTAATCCATAAAAACAGATAGTAATAAGATGTAAATAACATTTTTGTCATTTCCCACTAAAATATTACATAATCATAATACCAGATCATTTTTTAATTTTTAACTATCAACAAAAATGTAATATAATATGATGTACGAATTTAATGGTAATACTATACTCACAAAGAAAGCCGCAACATACATAATTTCTTTGTCGGTAAAATTGTTTAGATAATGAATGAATTTGGTATATTATATTCCGACTGACATAGCAGAACAGTAAAGTATTATACATAAAGATGTTGTTATAAGATATCTTTGCTTAGTTGGTCTACTAGTAACCATATAAGTAATAGCATATTTGATAAAATTACTGCCTACACAACTTGGCAACTCAGCCAATTGATATAATGACAGAAAACTGCAATTTATGTTAGGATTTGAAAATATTACAGAGTCGTCATGTAGAAATCTACAATTAAGTTAAAAAATTTACCACAGTAGCATGCCGCAGTAGAGCCATCTCTAGGATCAGAAACAAATTAATCGAGGGTGAAGATAAATAGACATTACTTAATTCTATGTTTATAAAACATATCGTAATAACAAGTAAATTTAGCACTTTATGTTTATTTTATATTTTTCAATGCATTGTTCTTGATTTTTTTTAAATACGGCCGTAAATTGCAAATACGGATGTATTCTTCTATTTTAGTAATTATTGAACCAGTATATTTACGTACCTTCACTGTTAAAGAACTTTAATGTATTTGTCACAATAATCAATATTACTTACGCATTTAATTTCATTAAATGCACCATCATTTTTAAACAGTAGTCTAATTTCATCTTTACTTTAAAATTTTTTTTCATTTTGATTTGCAGAATTGATTGCTTATTTCACCATTATAGAAAACAATGTATTGATTTCAGTGGCTTATACAATCATCAGTACCTGATTGCCGTATTTTGTTTCGACAAAAGTAGTTGATTTAGTACCTATTGATTTGCAGAGGTTCGTTGTACGAATTTCGTAAAGTGCTATTGAAATTTCGTAACCGAATCGGATGTTAGGAAGAGTAGGCATGATCGGAACCCACGGAAGTTTTATCTTCAGCGAGGTGCGAGTGCCACTGTGAATAAAAAATAGAATTTGTGACATCGAATAGAAAGGTGCGTCTATCTCACAATAGAAACGGACTAGCACCATAAGCACCAATCAATATAATGAGTATTATATAAAAATTTTATATAATTGATATAATCTGAAGTATTTAAATTAAAAAATCAGGACTTCATAAGACGCTAAAAATAATATTAACAACTTAAAAATAATTAACAAGTAACCTGCATTAATTCATTTTGAAGAATAATGTTCGATTCGAGAAAAAAATGTTTGAAAAATAAATTTAAATAATTTTAGTGGATGGATGTTTTAAGTTTAATAAATTTCTAACTTTCTTCTTCTTTGAGTGCCTCTCCTGTCGGAGATTGGATATCATTATGGCGATTCTAATTTTATTAACTGCTGTTTTGAATAATTCGTTAGTGGTACAGCCAAACCACTCTCTTAAATTTCTCATCCAGAACATTCTTCTACGGCCTGAATTTATGCGCTCTTGGATTTTTCCTTGCATTATATTTTGTAGGAACGTGTACTTTTGTCCTCTCATCAGGTGGCCTAAGTATTCAAGTTTTTTTTTTATATTCATAATAACTTCTGGATCGTTATTTATTCTTCGTATTACCTCTTCATTTATAATTTTATCTACCCAACTTATTTTTCTACTCCGGGTTCCGGAGATGCCTTGGAACTAGAGAAGCACTATTTTATGCAAACACTCCTTCAACGATGTTAGGAGGTAAGAAAACCCGTATAT